AAGGAGAGCCATATGCTGCAAAATGCTAGCATGCTGAAGGTGATGAACTTGGCTTCATTAAAACTGTCCGGTAAGTTGCGGGCAAGGAATGCCACAAGGAAACTGGCAATGGCCAAAAGGCCTAAGTAACCGAGGACACAATAAAACATGGCAACAGACCCTTCATTACATTGCACGATGATTTCTTCCGTTATTGACTGCATGTCTAAATCAGGGAATGGGGGAGAGGTTGCCAACCAGAAGGTGCAAATACTCACTTGAATGGAAGTGCAGGAAAGGAGAATGGAATAGACTAGTCTTTTCCCCACCCATTTCTGCATCCTAGATCTAGGCTTTGTGGCCATAAATGCAAGAGAAACTATGGTGGTTTTGGCCAACACGCAAGAAACCGCCATGGAGAAGATGATGCCAAAAGCAGATTGTCGGAGAAGGCAGGTCACTTTCCCAGGTTGGCCAAGGAAAAGCAAAGATGAGAGGAAGCAGAGCAGGAGGGAGATGAGGAGAGTGTAGGTGAGTCCCCGGTTGTTGGCTTTCACTATGGGGGTGTCTCTGTGCTTAATAAATATTCCTAGCATCAAGGCTGTAATGAGGGAAAATGAAATAGCAACAGCGGCTAATGTAACCCCTAAATTTTCTTTATAAGATAGAAAATGAATAGTTTTGTGGATGCACTCATTTTTATTCTTGTTTGGATACTGATCTTCTGGGCATTTGAAGCAGTCATCCATATCTGAAAAATAGAACAAGGGGTGTGGGAGAGAGCGATCTAAATTCAGCATATATTCATTGACTACAGTCAATTAATGATGGCAAAATGACAAGATATACCAGTCTGGTTTGAAATCTTCCCCTCTGGGCATGGAGCACAGTCATAGCAGCAAAACTTCTCCCCTTCCTTCATTTTCTTTTGACACCCAGGGTGGCAATGCACATTGCACATACCAAGGGGACGCACCTACCCATAAGAAAGATTAGAATGAGAAATACATGAAGTTGTTTACGTTAGGAGAGTTGTACGTATAGATATGCAGATCTACTTCAGTACACGAGGCTGGTATCTGAGGGCCATATTGCCTCATGATAACCTTCGAGGGACCATTTCTTGTGCTGGGTGGTGATAAAGACCAAAGTGGGTGAAGCAAAATGTGCATTTCTTACCTTTGTACAGTAGGACACATACATATACCATCCAGACTGAATGACTCAAGGAAGGCTAGTGTTGCCTGGGCACAGTCCCATCATACAACTACAGACATACTTGCAGGGCTTGGGGTTCCTCACCTCTACACTCCCACATCCCCTAGAAATTTACACCTTAATTACCTACCATTTTTAAGCAATGTCCAGCAAACATTAGATGTGTTTCTGTGCATGTTGTCCTTAATTATGTGTAAAAAGGCAACATTTTTTCCCACAATAGGAACAGAGATTTCTGGCATGTTGCTGGCAAAGTCACATCAATACTTTTTAATGGAGTTCGATGGCCCATCAGTTTAGGCAGAATAGGAAATTAATGCCTCAATTTAGAGCAGAAGATTGACATTTCTGTATTTAGAAAGTGATTTCCCTGACTCTTTTCATCATTCACAATGGTTGGGTTAGCCAGAAAAGGTAGTTTGCAGTTCAACTGGTGCCTTATTTGAAAGCACAGGATTTGTCCAGAGAACCCAAGAACTCATACCTGGTTAAACAATCTGTGCCACACAATTCCATCCTCATTAATGATGAATGGTTGTCCTTCAGGAGCATTGAGATCCACCCTTCCAATTTTTACTTTAAGGAATGACTTGTTTGGGAATGTGACCATATTTAGAATGTCAAACCCACCTTCCATCTCCCTTTCTGCATTAAAGGACACAACTTCGTTTGCTGGGTTGTTAAATGAAACACCTTGAAGAAATGGATGGAGCTAGTTGAAAAATAAAGAAAATGAGAAATGTGGTGCAAAATGAATTCAGATTGAAATGATTAACAGGCACAACCGTAGAAGGAAATACATGTATACTAAGAACATGTTGTCAGAGTTGTTGTCACTTCGTACTGAACTGCCCATTGAAATCAGAAGAGTGTGTTGTGAAATCATTACCTGCCAAGGCTGCAGACGGCTAGGTCCAGCACTCTTATCTTTTTTTTTTTTTTTTTTTTTGTATTTCAAAGATTTTATTGATTTCCCATTTTTTAAACAGTATATCCATATTTCAATATATCTCATACATTTTGAACTTCCTTCAGCGTCATTGACATTCATTCGTATTTATATCTTTAAAACACATTCCATTCTTTCATATTGCCATTCGTTCCTTCCTTCATACATTATTTCTATTAAACAATACTTATTAATTCTTTACAGTGCCTCTTTAAATCCCACTAGCGTTGTATTTACAAAACATTTATTCTCCAGATAACCCACAAATTTCCCCCAGTCCTCAATAAACTTTTGGTCCTTAGTATATCTGATTTTCCCTGTTAATTTATCCAACTCAGCGTATTCTGTCAGTTTTACTCTCCACTCTGCTATCGTTGGGATTTCTTCCTGCTTCCACTTCTGAGCTATCACAATTCTGGCTGCCGTTACCGCATACTGGAAGAGTTTGCAATCCTTCCTTTTGATATCCTTTCCCACAATACCTAATAAAAAGGCTTCTGGCTTTTTACAAAAGTGTAACTTAACATCTTTTTCATTTCGTTGTAAATTTCATCCCAGAAGCTTTTAACTTTCTTACACTCCCACCATTGATGATAGAAAGTCCCTTCCTTTTGTTTACATTTCCAGCATTTGTTATCTGCCTTATACATCTTAGCCAGTTTTACAGGTGTCATATACCACCTGTAAAGCATCTTCATCACATTTTCTCTCAGTAACGTGCATGCCGTAAATTTTATGTTCACTCTCCATAACTTTTCCCAATCCTCTAGTTGAATATTATAGCCGAAATCCCTTGCCCATTGTATCATGACAGATTTTACTTCCTCATCCTTCGTATTCCACTCTAACAATATTTTATACATTTTTGACAGGTTTTTATATTCGTTGTTTATTATCTCTTTTTGAAATTCCGATTCCTTTTCCTCGTAACCCCTTTCCTTCACCTCTTCTTTAAACATTTCATTTATCTGAAAATAGTGCAGCCAGTCATATGTAAATACTTTAACCTGATCGTATGATTTTACTTTCCACTTCCCTCCTTCATTAGTAACCATTTCTCCATACTTTCCCCACTTTTCTCTCATATTAACTTTCTTTACACTTATTATCTCCAACGGAGATAGCCAATGTGGGGTTTTCGGTTCTAATATATTTTTATATCTGTCCCAGACCTCTATTAGTGGACCTTTAAAGATGTGGCTACAAAATTCTTTATGCACTCTCTTTTTATCCCTCCATAGATACGCATGCCACCCAAATCTATTATTGTGCCCTTCCAAATCTAGTAGTTCTTTATTCTCCAGCTTTACCCATTCTTTTATCCAACACAGACATGCTGCTTCGTAATACAGTCTCATGTCTGGTAGGGCGAAGCCCCTCTTTCTGTTACATCTGTTAATAACTTAAACTTAATTCTAGGCTTCTTTCCTTCCCAGACGTATCTAGAGATCACCTTTTGCCATTCTTTAAAATTTTTTGTACCTTTTAATATGGGTATCGTTTGAAATAAAAATAACAACTTTGGGAGCACCATCATTTTGACCATAGATATTCTTCCCCAGAATGATAATTTCATCCTGGCCCAGACCTCCAGATCTTTTTTAATTCCATTCCAAACCGGGGTGTAGTTATTTTGGTATAAATCGATGTTTTTGTTGGTAAGCCAGAGTCCCAAATATTTAACCTTTTTAACAACCTCAATTTCGGTTCGTTGCTGTACTAATTCAATCTTATCCTGATCTAAGTTTTTAACAATCATTTTTGTCTTACTCTTATTCAATTTAAATCCTGCTAGCTTCCCAAATTTCTCCATCTCTTCCAAGATCTCCCTTATACTCTCTATAGGTTCTTCCACTGTTAGGACCACATCGTCTGCGTAGGCTTTAACTTTGTACTCATTTGAACCTAATGTTACCCCTTTAATTTGTTTATTTTGTCTTATTGCATTTAGTAAGACTTCCAAAACCACAATAAAGAGCAGCGGCGAAGCGGACATCCCTGTCTTGTTCCTTTGGATATTTTTATATCTTCAGTGATGATATTATTAATTATCAGTCTCGCCTTCTGTTCTGTGTAAATTGCCTTTATGCCATTTAGAAACTCTTGGCCCACCTCCATAATTTCCAAATTTTTTAACATGAAATCCCAGACTACATTATCGAAGGCTTTCTCCGCATCTACGAAGATTAGACTGGCTGGTTTATCACATCTATCAGAAAGGTATTCAATTAAATTAACTATACTTCTTGTGTTATTTCTTATTTGCCTGCCCGGTAAAAAACCCGCTTGGTCTTCATGTATAATTTTTGTTAGTATCTTTTTAGTCTTTTGGCTAGGATTCCAGCAAAAATCTTATAATCCGTATTTAATAAAGAGATAGGTCTGTAATTCTTAACTTGGGTTAGATCCGAGTCTTGCTTTGGAATTATTGTGATAAATGCCTCCTTCCATGTGTCTGGGATATCTCTTTCCTTTAGGATGTTATTCATCACCTCAATTAACGGAGTCATCAATGTATCTTTCATTTCTTTATAATAGCTCGATGTAAACCCATCTGGGCCCGGTGCTTTCCCTCTTTTCAATTCTTTTATCACTTCTTCTACCTCTTCTCTATATATTGGGGCATTTAGCTGTTCCTTTTGATCTATCGAAATCTTCCTCACCATCTTTTCTTTTAAATATCTTTCTATTTTTTTTTATTGTTCCTTTCTTTATTCCTATATAGTTGCTCATAAAAATCCACGAATCCTTTTCTAATTCCTTTCGGGTCAGTTGTTTCTTCTCCATTTATTTGTATTTTGCTGATTGTATTTTGTTCGTTCCTCCTTTTAACTTGCCAAGCAAGCCATTTTCCTGACTTATTGGCGAATTCAAAATTTTTCTGTCTTAACCTTTTGATGTTCCACTCAACCTCTTTATTTATTAACATAGCAAATTGGGTTTGGAGGGATTTTATTTCCTGCATTATCCTTTCATTATTCGGTTTTTTAATCAATTTTTGTTCATTGTCCATAATCTGTCTCAGAATCTCTTTTGTCCTTCTTTCTTTGTTTTTTCTTTTCCACACATTTTGTTGAATAAAAAGGCCCCTCATTACTGCCTTACTTGCATCCCATACCACACTTATTTTCACCCCTTTATCTAAATTATCCAAAAAATATTCAAATAGTTTCTTCCGTATTTTTCAACGAACTTTTGATCATCCCATAGGTTATCATTCAGCCTCCATCTGAAAGTACGTTCTTCAGCTCCCTTCATCTCCATTTCTATTGGGTTATGATCAGAAACAACTTTGGCCTGGATTTCAATTTTTGGATTCTTGGTGTCAATTCATTTGATATCCATATTTGATCTATTCTTGACATTGATTGGTTCGGTTCTGAGTGATATGTAAATTGTTTCTCCAGAGGGTGCCTAAGTCTCCAAATATCTATTAAATTACAATTCTTGGTCATCATAAAGAATGTCTTAGGTAACTTTCCTTCTTTGTTCTTCGTTTTCCTTAATCTGTCCATTTCAATTGAAACCACCCCGTTCATGTCTCCCATTATTATGATTTTTTGGTCCATATGTTCAAATAGCTTCTCTTCCAATAATCTAAAGAACTCTGTTTTGTTTCCATTTGGTGCGTAAATCCCGATTATTATCAATATTTCACCTTGCCATTTAATACGAACCGCTATTATTCTTCCTTCCTCATCCTTAAATAATTGGTGAGATTCAATTTTATTTTTAATGTAAAGTACTACACCTCTTTTTTCTCTTTATCCGAAGATATGAATTCATTCCCTAACCTCTTATTGATAAGAATTTTCCTATGCTTCTTGGCCACATGTGTTTCTTGAAGGCATATGATGTCCAAGTTCTTCTTTTTTAGAATACGTTCAATTCCGTTCCGTTTTTTCTTATCGTTCATTCCATTAATGTTCCAGTTCCATAATTTTAACGTCATTTTCCTTACCACTGATCGAGTTTGAATTTTATCCTATATTCTTTCTATCTCTTCTCCTTCTTCCTCTTCTTCGTCTTCCTCAAATTTTCCTCCGTTCTGTTCTTCTTCTTCTCCCAATTCTGGTTCCTCCCTCAGTCTTAGTCCGCCCTCTGCTCCTTTAAGCTCCTCCTCTCCCTGTTGAAGCTCTTTATATCTTCTTGTGAACTTTCCTATTTCCTCGGGGCTTGTCAATCTTCTTTTAACTCCTTTATAAAAGAATGAGACACCTTCCGGAAATTCCCATCGAAAGTCAATCCTATTTTTCTTAAGCAGTTGCACCAGTGGTTTATACGGTTCTCTTCGTTTCAGCAGCCTTATTGGAATATCTTTAAATATAATTATGTAGTTTCCATCGATATATAGTCTCTTCTCTCTATTCCTTTGCAAAATCAGGTTTCTCATCTCTCTATCTTTAAATGTAACTAAACAGTCCCCTGGAACTTTCTTTACCCTGTTTGATTTAATTTTCATTCTGTATGCATTTTGTATTGTCTTCGCCACAGCTTCTTCCGCCAACTCCATCCACTGCGCTATTTCTTTTGTTAGTCTTTCTTTTATATTTTCATTTTGTACTTCCGGAATTTGCCTTAATCTTAAATTAACTTCTCTCTGTTTTAGTTCGTTCATTGCAATAGAATCTTTTATTTCTTCCTGCATTTTATTTAAATCTGCTATCTCATTTCTCATTTTTTCTTCTTCCCGCTTCATTTCTTTCATTTCCTGTTTAGTCTTTTTTAATCCTTCATCCACTCTTTTTGAGACCTCCTTGATCTGTCCTTTCAATTCACTTACTGTCTCCTCAATCTTTTTGTCCATTTTCCCAATTTTATTATCCACCTGTTCTAATTTTATCTCTAAGTTTTTCTCACTTTGTTTTATTTCTGCAAACATCCTCAATATTTCTGTTCTAAATTCTGTTTCTTGTTTAGAGGCTCTCCTATCTGTTGGGGTTCCTCCCTCCACCCCTTTTTTTTTGCGTATGTGACATTATTTTAAATCTCAAAATGTCGTATATTTCCACTAAATATTTCTTGTCTTTCCTGTCCTTCCTGTACAAATATTCTTATACTTGCTATTAGATAATATTAAGTTGACCACCAAAAGTAGTATATACAACCCTATATAGAATGACCACCAGTAATACCAAATACCCAGAAACCTAGGTATTACAAATCGCGACTACTTAGCCTCCACTCAATATGTTTAAATGTTATCCCTTCCCCCTAAACTTCGAGGGAAGGTGGTTGTCTGTTGGTTCTGATAATGTTCTGTTTAATAATCTTCTTGCCCCTATTCGGGCTAATCCAACCAACGCTTTGGTAAACACAGTCCCAATTTATAAGTTTGTAAATCCGAATGTAGTTCAGGTAGAAATAACAGAGATTTTGGGAGAACTCCACTTATAACTTCAGAGGTACACCAAATTCAAATGTTAATTTAAGTATAATTGTCAATATTCATATTAGTTATTCCTTAACCACATATGTTCATGCTGAGTAGATTGATGAGTTTAGTCCGACAGGGGGGGAGGCCTCTCCAGAGCAGTTATCTTCTTTACTTCGTTAAGCCTCAAAAGCCTCAGCTGAGGTTTTCCAGAATTAGGATGTAATATTTGGCTTACGCCACAGGAGGGAGTCAGCCTCTTTCAAACTTAGGGGAAGTTTCTTAATTATTTTTTCAACTACCCTCCTTATATTCTTTTCTCTTTCAATGTCTTATATACCGAGATGACGAAGAAAATTATTAAACAAAAGGAAACCCCAAAACGTCGACCCAAAGTACCTTGAGGTGTTTTGTCTTCTCTTTCTATACGTCTTTTAGAACCACTTGATATGGCGTCTGAAGCTCCTCTCCACCCCCACTTAATATGGCGTTGAAAAATCTTCTCAATACCTTATCTTCTTCACATAAATCTTAACAATAGTCCTCTTTGTATTCCAATTACCTCAGTCACACTATCGACTGGGTTTTCTCTTCTATCACCACACTTCTCTGCTCCCCCTTAGCTTTCTCCCTTTCTCTTTTATCTTTTAAACTTGGATAAACGGGAGAGACGGAAACAGTAGCCGCTAGCGGTAACTTACTTTCTCTTTCGGCTCTGCATGCAGCGCTGCGTCTTTTTCAATGAAGTCAAACCGGCGCTGAACTCGGACTCTTCTCTTTTTACTCGGAGACTTCCTTATCTTTTTCCCCCCTTCGCGTTGTTATAAAGACTGAGTTCTGAATCCGAGTTTCTTTATCTCGAGAGCGGGGCGCTAATCCTTGCAGGCTCGGGGCTTCGCTGGTTCGCCGCTATAATGGCTGCCCAATTACCCACTGCTCGTTCTGTCGCTCTCTTCACCTTTATTCAAAGGCTACCTGACGACTGGACGAACAGCTTCCAGGCACTGCCGGGCACCTAGACCTCTAGACACCCTCCAGAGGTTTAGCGGGAGGTTTTTTTCGCCCTAAAAACCTCCAAAATCGGCCGAAACAGCTAGGGCTCTCTCCGCAGAAAAAACCCTCGCCTGCAACAGGTTCCGCGCTCCACCGGAAGTCCTCGGTCCAGCACTCTTATCAATTACCATTGATCTGTGCTTGGATCTGAAGAGGTCCATGGTATTCAGAGCATGAGCAATAGCATAGACAGCATTATAGATACTATAGCTGTGTCCAGTCATGTGCATTTCAAAAACACCTGCAGGGAGACTGTCCAGCTTCTCTTCTCCAGTACATGTGTCATCATCCATCAGAGGCATCTCTAGATCTGGAAATAAGCAAGCAAAGGCTTGCTCCCAGAAATTTTGGAGAAAACCATCTCTTTGTGTCCAATTTGGTTTCACAGTCTGAAGAAATTCCTTGAAACCTAGAATATCTTTTGAGTGAGTTGTGAAGGAAATGGCACCTTCAAAGATCTGAAAATCCCAGGATCTTTCCATGCCTGTCATTATGAAATCTATCTGTGTTGTCAAGATCCACACCTTTCCAAATGATGTGCTTTCTTTTCTGAAGGGATCTAACATAATTATATATGCTCTCAGCAATAGAAAGGTCAAGGTTTCTCCATAAATGATAATTACACTGACATCTATTTTTCTTAAAAGTTCAAACACATTTGAAGCTTTGACCACAGGATCATTCAGAGAAGGCAGCTGGGTCTGTTGTGGGAGTCTTTCTGTGAAGGCTGAACAGATTCCATTCTGGGAAAACAATGGCTCTAGGGTCTTCAAGAAAAATTCTCCAATGTTATCATCCACAACAAAGAGTCCAACCCATGTCCATCTAAAATATCGAAATAACCTGATAATCCCCATATACTGATGGGCTTCATTTGGGACCAAACCATAAAAGGAAGATATGTGCATTTTTCTAATCTCCTCTGAGGCAAAGGAACCATATGCAAGCTAAAACAAAATGTATAGTCCTTGTAGAGACAAGTAAGAAATAGTCTCAGTGTGCAAATGAATGATTATACCACAAATATCAGTTGCAGGATTTTTCAGTAATACCATTATTTGCTTCCTAATCTGTGCCTGTCAAAAGTTTAATTTACTACCTCTCTTTCACAGCACCCACTATGTTTATCTTGGTAAGATTTAAGATGTTTCCCATAAAGGCAGAGGTATCAAGAGACAGGTTTTTGTGGATGTCATATGAACTAATGGGGACAACTGGAGAGGAGGTCCATATTGGTGAGACGGTCATCTTTGCATTGTAGCCACTGATACACAAATGAGAACGAGGTGAATACCTAAAAGTTTTACTCGAGCTCTCATGGACATGCAATGAAGCTTAATATTTTAATCGTAGACGTGATGAGGTGGAAGGGATCCAAAAGTCAACCAAAACAAGAACGTCCAGACCTGTAGGATTACAATCTTAACCCCACTCCCAGCACACACACACAAATAGACACTGGAAGAAGGACAGGGAAGGAAAAGTAAAAGTAAAATCAAAATTCAGACACCAGTTTCTAAACAGCTGTTCCTATAATGGCCAAATGGCACAGTTTGGGGTGCTGGGCCTCCAGAAAAGCAGATGAAATGAGGCCTGCTTCCTGTCTCTCCCACTGATGGAAGGGCTGGTTGCCAGTGAGAGTTAAGGGACAGGAGGACTGACAGACCTAGCTGGTCACAGTGGAGCCAGTGGAGTGACTATTGCTTCTCAGTTCTCGTTCTGCTGGAACGGCGTGTATGTTAGGACAGGCACATTGGTGTCATGGCAGCCATGAAGTCCTGGACCATTCATTACTCAGTGGCTTCTGTGTGGATGCTTAGTATAATCAGGAGAGTCTGCAACATCATGTCGAAGCCATCTTCCTCTTACCTACTCACTATGTCACTCTCCCAACGCTTACCTGTGGAATCTTGTAGAGTCCCAAGATTTCTGCCACATGGAAGGAGGTAGAAAAGCCCAGTCCACCAATGATGGCTTTGATGTTTTTCTGACGACCACATTCAAAGTTGGGGACAAATCTATGCAATTTGAAGAGCAGGGCTAGAGTGTTTTGATAGGTCATCCTCACATCATGGTAGCTGTCATAGATGTGGAAACCAAGTGTGACATTGGGCAAGAGCTTGGGGTTCTCGTTGATCTCCTTTATGGCAAATGCCAAGGCCAGAGAGTGCTGGTAGAACTTGGTCACCGTGCTGGCAATAGAGTTAAGCAACAATTTCAGAAGAGAATTCTAGCACTCATCCAGGTCTAATACCACAAATCATGGCGCAAACCATTGTAGTAGTATGAGGTGCATAGGAACCCATGCTTTACCAGAGCACAATGCCATAAAAGAGAACTGCGTGTTATGTTGTGTGGCTGTGGCTGTGACTTCTTCTCCTGTCTTTATTGTGTGTATATAGTGTTGAGTGTATGGCACATTGGTGTAAATCAATAAATAAAAATGTGCAAATGACTGGCCGCATATTTTTCATATTTATTTATTCATTTCGCAGATTATTTCACAAGACTAATCACCCCAAATTCCTTTGGGAAATGGATTTATTGGTAGATGTCTGTGTGTGTTGAAGTGTGGGGGGGTGATATCTGTAATACATACATAAGGCAAATACATTAGTAAAGTGCAAATGAAATAAATGAACTGAGATGGAGGAGGAGCCCTAGTTTGGACCAATCATACCTAAGCATGTGTCATCAACTCTGACAACAGCCTTCCAGGGTTTCAGAAATGGAGTCCCAGTCCTATCTGGAGATGCCAAGCATTGAACCTTGAACTTTCTGCATACATATCCTCTATGGATGGTCTATGGCCCTTCCTACATGTGCATTTGTTGAACATCCTGCCACTCATATACACCATCTTTGAGATCTGGAAAAACTTGTAAGATGGGTGACTTACTGGGTAACATCAAACAATTTCTGAGAAGGATGCTCATTGAATGAAATTCCATGGAAAACATACATGATTTGAGATCCAACACCACCAATGAGGATGCCACCTGGCTGGTACCATTCATGTGGAACAGGGACAGGGTCAGATGTGGGGCATTTCATAGTCTCGTCTTTGCACACAATGGGAGACAATAGAAGCAGGAACATTAGAAGCCACAACATCCCAGCACCCAGCCCTGATTCTAGCATGTCCCCCTGTAGCAGCTGCATGGTGTCAATGCACCTCTTAGAATCAGCAGAGATATAACTGCAAGCCTTGAATAAAAGCAGACATCACAAATTATCCAATTTGAAGTCTGGGTTGTAAGACACACAAACACAAGGCAGAAATAGCATAAAACAAACTTGCAGAGCCATGCCTCCCTCTTTGCCCTTCCTTCCAACTCTCCATAGTACAGGGGTTTATTTATAACCACTTTCAGGCTTGCATATCCTTTGTTTTCTCATGTCTTCTGTAAAGCCTCTGGAGCTTCAGACATGTGAACAAATTATAGTGCTTGAGATAATTTGGGAGTGGGGGTGCAATTTTCTCTTTGTGGAGAGGATATTTAGTGAAACTTTTTGTAGGAGGCATGTTTTTTTGAAGTCAGACCACAAGTCTTCTCTGCTCTCTAAAGGGAAATGGGGCTTTATGGTGAAGTCATTGGTTTGAGTAGAGAACACAATATACTGGTAGACCTGGAAGGTGTGGAAACAAGTCTTTTTTGCTTCATAACAAGATGAGAAGTACAGGTTCCATATTTTGAGGGTGAGCAAACACCAACAAGAAACTGATCTCATTTCATCCATGAGGTCATGGTAGCGGACCAGAATCCAATGTACCCTACACCTGACATCATATAGTATGTGAGATGTGAGGCAAGATTGTTGGGTCTCTTGAAAAACACAGAACATTATAACTATTTACAAGGAGCTCCACAAGACGACCCTGTAAAGCTCTTTCCAAGGTGCTACACCGAAACATGTTTTTCAAGGTTTTTTCTTACCAAGACCTGACAATCATATCAAGTCCTGCCCAACCCTTTGCAAAATGCTCCAGAAGATGGCATTTTGTAAAATGATTTGCACTCAGACAATTATCTGGTTTTGTGAAGTCCATAGTAAGGTCAAACTGTGTCATTATGATGATAAGCCTGCTCTCCCCTTTTGGTGCAGCAACATTGCAGGATGGCGAGGCTGTAAATGGGGCCTCGACAAGGGAACCACAGCTTCGGTGCTCTTCCTGATAGGCAGTGCGGGCCTCAGTAGCCGGATCTTGGCCTGCATCCCGTTTTGGCAAATGGGAGTGAGGCTGGGACTTGGGCTGTACCAGGAGGTGGGGACGATGGAGTGGAAAGTCTTCCATTGGGTCCACCCCATAGCCATTTAAGCAGCCCAAACCTGGGGCACTACCTGTTTGTTCCTTCTTCCGGTTTCCCTGCCCACCCATCTTCGGTTTTAGCTAATAGTTAAGGACCTTGCTGTGGCTGTGGTGGTTGCCGTTTTATGGGGCCAGATAGGAATTTGTCCACCGGACCAATTGGCTCTTACCTGGTGGTTTTTTCCTACCTCATAGCAATCATCACAACTGGGTTGGGCATTTGGGCAATCCTTTGTTTTGGATGAAGGGGAGGTTGCAGTCTTTGCTTGCCCCTTCAAACACTGAGGTATCCCATTAAAATTATCTGGGAGGAGTGGTCATGTCTGCGTGCTCAGGCAGGGCCAGGGCCAAAGGCACTCCACCAGACAGCGGTCCCTGTGGGGGTCAGCCTATTTGATGTAAGTCTTAGGAACCCCCACCTGGGTTGACCTACATGTCACTTCTGCCTGGCGGGCTGGAAGTATTTTGATTGCTGCCATGCCCAAGCCAAACCTCTTTCATTTGTATTCAATAAAGTTGTGGCCTGGTTTGATCCAAACCAGTCTTACTGGTCTTTTATTTATTTTGGTTGGAGGCTGGGGAGCACGAAGCCCAGACCTGCAAGTGAATGAAACATGCACAGTCACCCACACCTGCTGAACTTGGCCTGCGAAGGGTTGGGGATATAATGAACTGGTCCACTGGCCACATGTGTCCAATGGTGAAGTCATTTCCATGGCTAGGGAAACCAAAGCTGTAGTAATCAAGAAATGCAGACAACATTTCCTTAAAAGTTGAGCTGAGTCTTATGT